GTGAGATGTCTGCAGCTAGTTTCTCTTTGCATAACCAAGCTATGAAATATTCAGCGTTCATAGACTTTCAGTCTAATCACTTCTGTGGATATACCGCATGGAACAGTCACCAAAGCGACCCAGTGACTTCAAAGGCTTAGCAAGGATGCACTTCTTTAGAAATTTCATAAGATTTCTTTAGTTTACGAGTTTAAATAGAGTGAACTGACATAGATCTTATGATCGTTTTACACATATTTCATGAAAAATTTTCTCCTGGATTCCACCACGGTCTCTATCCATCATCACTTTCTCAATGCGTTGAATACACTTATCTCCTTCTATTATCTAACTTCCAGGCTACAATATTCGTCTAATCCTCCTATATATTGTCAAACGTACTATTTGTTGGACAAATTTATCCACTCAACTCGTGTTCCTTTAATTACCTCGTATAGATATTATCTTTAATTCAAACGGACAGCCTTCCGTGTAATTGATTCAAACGTGCAAACATTTATGTAAAGTGATGTTAAAATTGTTTTGTGTTGTAAAGCAGTTGAGAATCTGTAAAATAAAGTGGATCCATGTTTTTATGGAGAAGAGCTTTGTTGTCTCACTACATAATGCTTGATTCACTGGAAACAGTCAATGAATTACATTACTATTGGTTTTGTATGATCTGTGGGTATCCAGTGAACTATCATCGAATAGGGTGTCGACTTCCAACGAGCTATATATTGCGATGACAAACACAATTAAAAGTACAATAAACAAATTAAGTGTGTAAGTTACTGCGCCGCTGTTCAGGAAGGACGTAGAAACACATGTGCCAACATTATTGACAAAGTAATCCATCTGAAAATAAGGCAAGATTTGCAGTGGAAAAACTTGGCAATGTCGTGGTCGAAACAGTATGTGATACAAACCCACTGGCTTATTTTCTGTTGGAGTGATTTGTTGATAAAGCTGTTGTTATAATCTTAGTTGTCAACTGTTATATTCTTAAAGTGAATTATTATAACCTGAGTTATGCATAAATATATGTGAATGCCTGAACAGTAACCTTTAGATCCCACTCTTTGACGGTCACCCCATTTCTCGGTGAATGGAAGAAGACGGTACAACAACAGAAGGTGTATAGCAACACCAATAAATATATAGAAAATGCGATGGTTTTAATACATATTCACACTGGCTTTGCTTATTTCTATGCCTTTCATGATTTGATTTTTGTCTCCTCTACCAAACTGATATTTATACGTTGGTTCACCTGCTATCTCCCAAAACTTCGGTGAAACACTATTGGTTATGAAAGGCTTCAGGGAGATAAAGTTTATTGTGAAGATTTCTTTAATCTGACTACATACCTGTGGACTTCCTAGCTCAGGTACATGGAGTAAAGGAATCTACTAGTTGGAAATATTAGCGTTAGTGTGGTGAATACCTCCTCATTAAATGCATATATGGCTATTTCAGTGCTACAAACACACCTTCCATAATCCAGTAGCTTCTTTTTTAAAATTAATAAATTCACCTCCTTTATTGATTTCCTTTTGTTGTTCTGTCTTCAAACCCATAGCAAATAAATTTAACAAAATTAGCGTACATCGGCATATATATATATATATATATATATATATATATATATATATATATATATATATAGTTTACAGTGTATCTGTAAGTGGGAATATATGGATCATGTGGCCAAGAGAAATCTTGTACTACCCAACGATTGATATACAACACCCATTTTCTCATCATTTTTTAATTTGTCTTTTTGCCTATCGTCTAAATGACAGATGGATTCAATGCCTGACTGGTTTTGCTTACTTTTCGTCTCTGACAGTTTCATCGATGAATTCATTGCTGATGCAAGTCAATAACGTATATAATTGGGATATCTTGGGGTGAGAAGGGGTGGGTTATCTGGTTTTTCTAGCCAAAATACCGAAAAAGATGAAGAAGTGAATGGAATAGTACCTAGATATTTTTCAGAGGAAAAGGAATGTATTGTCCTTTTTGCTAATGGATTTCATCGGTTCATCTTAGAAACTTCAGTGTTCTTCCTTTTGGAAGCCAGCTGTCTATTAGAGTCTCGTACTTGTAAACATCTGTAGATCTGAGGTCCCCAGTGATTCTGAGGCTAGCCTAATTTCATACGAGGTAATGATGGATGATGAAATCAAAACTAGGGTCATAGCAGTATTCTTTCATATAAAAAATTAAGAATATTTTGAAATTTCAGAGCGGCATTCATCGTTTGGAGAACTACTGAAAACCCAGGAGCACTGTACAGCTGTTCCGTCCCAGTATGGGACTCCTCAGCAGTACACACCGTGGATTCTGACGCCGTGACTAACTATTAACATGCTCGTTGTGAGACCTTAACTTCCTGGGTCTGACTTTTGGTGGGTTCATGCGTACGCATCGGTAAGGAGTCTCATATTAGGTAAAAATACCTGCCTGGTGGTCCCAGGTTTTCAATTCTTCTCTAACTGATGTCATTCCGCGATGAATAGTAACTAGAAATCAATAAAAATTCCCCCACAAACCTCCAAAGTTAACAAAAGTCTGACATTAATTCTTTGCATGATTCTGTCGATATTCCTAGTTTGCGAAAACCCCATTGTACTTTTCATAGATGAACTAAATGTTCCCCACCCTATTTTAGCTCCACCTTACTCGCACAACTAAAAAATGCCTCTCTGACCGACTCGCTTATTTAATCATCTGTATTGAATTGATCTTTGTTTCATATTACGATGCAACTGGTTGATCGTAAGTATCACCACCTTTTGTACCAAATTTTGAATATTACCCTGAAAACTTAATGTCAGATTCATACTCTTGAATAGGATCTTCCTAGCAAGATCTAAATGTTGAGGAATAATACGAAATATTTGTTTATTTTGTTATTTGTTCTAATATACTACGCCGGGATTACACAAGTAAAATACACCTTATACGATGAATCGCACTAACTCGCTGCCCAAGTTTTTTCAAACCATCTAGTCCATTGTTGGTCAGGATACCTTCAAAATTATTTAGGTTCCATAGTTGATATAGACGTAAGTAGGTTGATTACATGCCAAGATACACTTAACTTACAAGGTCATTCACTATAAATGAATAATGAGTGAGCAAATAAAACAACAAAAGATATGAGGAAGAATTTATGGGATTCAAGAATTTCGACAGGACTCATCAGATTAAAATGTCTTAGGTACGTGATCACTTTCGATATTGAGATACAGGGTTAATGTTCATACGTGTGTGCGGAATACATACACACATGCACTCAAATGTATACCTACTGAGACCCAGGTACAGCCAGCTGACGAGTCCCAAATGGGGCAAGACCTACTTCTTGGATTCTACTGCTGGCTACTATCCAGTGTTAATATTCAAGTAATGTTGAAACTGATAGTGTGTGCGAAAATCAATAAGAACAAAAAATACCAGCAATAACACAGGAGACAACTGGAAATCAATTGGAGGAAGTAATACAATTACTTTGAGGTTAATGGGGATATTATTTTTAAGGTAGTATCACGGAGAACGACTGATTACCTGGAAGCATTGAATGGCTGTTTCGTCCTAATGTGGGGCTTCTCAGCAGCACGCAATCACTACTCAGTTAGCGATTAAACTCAGAACCTCCAGGTCTTACGGCTAACCTGTCGACACTTCAACCACTGGATCGGAGTTCAATGGTCCACAGATTACTGTCCATAGTCACATCAGATAACTCCACAACTTTGATGCACACTTTATATGGTTCTCATTTTCTCGTCTCACTTGTAATGTCGTCAGTAGACTTTTCCATGTATCTGAGACAGGTCCATGTTTTTGGTGCTGATCAGATAAACAAAGATTCGCTTATCAATCTCTCCACCCAACTAAGTTGTTAATACTATCACTCAAACCCACCCTATATTGTGATTGTGTGCAGACATATGTATAGCTATAACTGAGTTTCTTCTAAATTTCTTACCTTACTAGGATCTACTAATCTTGATTTAGCTGAGTTCGTGTACTCCAACAGACCTAACTAACCCTGGTTGACTACTTTGACCTATTATGTATTTTAACATTTGTAATAATTGTGAGGAATTTGGTAAAGCTAGTTATACTGCTAAATTGGATCAGTAGGATCTTTTAACCTAAAAAGCTTGTTTTTAAGTGACTTGTGTGACTGAATGGTTATCTCCCCCCAGGTTTATTGAAAATTCTTCATAACGCTTTTGAGGAGCCCTCTTTGTATGTTAACATAGTTTGAAGAATTCCCAGTTTACTGTTTACCGAATTCATATGCCATTTAAGGAATAAAAATTCTCTTAATGTAACTATTAAATGCTGCTTAATCATAAACTGATCAAATTTTCTATCGACCAACTGTTATCATTTTCATTTATATGGTCAAAATCCCTTACTTTGTCTGAACTTTATTGGTTAGGATGTTTTTTCAATAAAATTCTATTACGGTAGGGATATTTGGAATCACAGCCAATCCATAAACACTGCCAGTATTGATGAATAGATGTGAAATGAAAATCTGAGACGTGGTGGGATTCCAACCAACGACCCTTGAGTCTGCTTAGATGGACAGCATTATCACCATTGTATACCAAAATACTTACCATACTACTGTGTAATCAATAAATCAGTCATAGGATAAGATTATTAATAAATAATTATTACTGGTTTTTTGTATGACGCTGGTACACCATAATATTGTCCTTGGTTTTCAATATTCAATCTTATATAAATATTTGGTATTCCTGAAGGAAATAAATAATTCATCGGTTTACACATTGTTAACATAATACAGTTTCAAAGAATCTGCGAATATAAGTTATGAATGGTATAATAGCGAATTGTAAAGAAGATATATGAATAGTTATTCAAAAATGTGTTTAAATTGATTTTATTATGAAATCAATGTGATACTTAATCAAAAAATCAATAATAGTATAGTACTTTTAATAAAAGTAATCAATTCTCTGCTTTCTTAGATTACATTCCAGTAATAATGAGATCAGAAAAAGAAGCACAACACATATGGTCGGTACGTGATTAGCTACTGATGATTTATGGAGAAGAGAACATGTATCTGTACACTAGTGACGATCGATGAATTGTGTTGTAATGTAATCGAAGCTGTGAATAGAATACTATATAATTTTATGCTGATAAGAGGAGATAAAAAAATTTTGGAATAAATTTTTGACAAAGAATGTTTTAGTTTTATCTTGTACAAAGGTCACACTAGCAACGCGGTACCCAAAATCAACAGAATACAAAAGGGAAATGTGAGATTTTGAAAGTGAAAAGGAGGCGTTGATTTCAAAGGGAAGGAATGAATTATACTATTGATTACGTTATCGTCGAGGGACAGATATTTCGTTGTCCATATTAAGAATTATGGAAAACTGTGGATCACTGAACTGCTCGCTACCTAGTGACTGGATCGTTAACGTGTTCGTCACGAGATCTCGCGGTCCTGAGTTCGACCCCTATCTACTTTATCCATGAGTACTGCCGAGGAGACCCATACTAGGATGAAACAGCTATCTCGTGCCCTCAGGTGTTCACTGGTTCTCCAATCCAACTGACGTCAGTCCGTCATGAATACTGCCTAGGTGCAAAGTAAAAGCCTGACAGACAGACGAAGTACTTTTTAACCATAGGCTTTCAGGAACTCCTAGTTATTGTCTAGATTAGTATTGGATGGTTAGAAGTATTCAAAGTCCAGTACTCAACTAAGTCTTTTGTTGAGCAAAAGGTGAAATAAATTAGACAACCTACGAATAAAATACCAACTAATTGATTCCAATTTTAATCGGGCAATTACATAAAACATTTTATAGTGCATAAACTTATTTAAATAAATTTTCACTGTAATTTTATGCAAAAGTTGTCATATAGTTCAATATTCAATAATTGTTAGACTTTAGTAATGCGAAAATTTAAGTGTACACGGCTAACATAAAAGAAAAAGCAGACATCGTTCATTTATTTTAAATGCTAACTTCCGTATATACCTAAATAACAAAGAGCATTTGACAGTCATATGAATGTGACTAGACTTCAGGAAAAAACTTACTAGCCCTTGAAATAATTACAGTTTCCACAACAATACAGCTACTAAAACCACTAATACTACCCCTCACACTACTACTACTAGTACTCAGACTATAAGTGCTACTACCCATAGTACTACTACTACTACTACTACTACTACTGCTCATGCTGCAGCTACCGCTGCTACTCACACCACTACTACTATAACTGCTTCTACCTTCATGGCTTATTCGACTAATCAGTAAAGTACTTTGAACACTAAAGCTTTGATAAATGCTTGTGTTACTTGCTCGATCAGGTCATTGTTGGTGTTTACGACATGAAACGCATTTTAGCTATTCTCCCCCAGATCATTTCATTTCAAAGTAAATGAAATCCATTGGTCACTGCAATTAAAGATTTCCCAATAACTTCCCAATCAGGTAAGCACCTTTTGACCGATAAACCACTGATAACTACCATAGTGTCGTTTCCTACCTCTAGATCACATCAGTGTGCGACTATATGAGCCAACCTAGGAAATGAGGAAATAATCGATCGGATTTCGTTATTTAGGATGAGAGGTTAGTCTTCTTAAAAAAATAGGGAAACAATTGGCTATTTCAGAAGTTGATAGGTTGACCGTTAAAGTCACTCCTCATCTATCAAGTTTCACTAGGTTGCATATTTGATATCTTCTTGCACTGTAATTTGTTGCGTCTTTGCTTTTCAAATCTCGGCAATGAACACTCATTCAGACTTTACCATTCTTTGTGTACTAGAAGATTTCAATATAATGCGAAAAAATTCTTTAATTAGAAGATTATGCATCATTCACACGAATCCAGACGTTGACAATAGTCACATTCAGTTTTTTAAATGATGATCTCTTTACATGATACAGTTTAGATCAGAGAATCTGTCTAATGTACATACTCACTGAAAGTACAAAAGATGAGGAATAAATCCAAGATGGATTTACGTTGATCAATTGTTGGAAAACAACAATTGTTGTCATAAATTGTCGAGTAATAAGTTCTAACTTAGTTCTGTCGACACAGTCAACCAACTTATCCCCGTACTGGCAAAACTATATGACGATAGGCAATTGAAAGTGGTCAGTAAAAGTACTAGATGCCGATTTCTCATTTAACAATACTCATCAAGCAAGAAACCTGATTCAATGGGACTTATGTCAACTGTGTTCAACAAATTTACATCGAATACCTACATATATCATGAGACTGGAATAGTAATAAATTTCGAAGTAGTAGGCCATTAGTTTCCCTTGTTTACGCGAAACATTGTATTGAGTTTCAGCAATTCGTCTATTTGATGAACGAGTCAAAATGTATAGGTTAACTTGGTTTGTCTGTAAAAGCTAAACGTATATATGCACAAGATATCCTACTAATCATGAAATTCAGAAGAATTTCGTGTATGAATGTAAAAAATACCTTGATAACTGTTTGAATCAACACAGAGACTTTGAGAGAATCAATCTGATGGTTTATCCAACTGCTGTATTGATCTTGATGACTAACGGAGGAATCCATGATGCACTTTTCCTCCCACTTCGAACTCGTCAGTTGGATGTACCTGCTCCCCAGTGAGTGATGTTGCTACAACTGAGACTCTGTGAGCGCAGTAAGGCCCACCAAGCCTGTTTGTCATTAAGGTCAACATATGTTGAATATCCCGCAGTGTCGAGGCATCCGCATTGGAGCTCATCTACGAACAGAGGTTGAGCAATTCGGCTCTGTGTAGCAACGGGTTAGCAAGGTTTATCCAACTATCAACCAGTGGTTTCATTGAAAAGAAGGTAAAGCAGAATTTGTCGGAAGAGCGGTTAATTCAATACTAATAAGACAATCTAAAACAGTCCCTATACTTAGACCTCATCAGCCCGAGAGTGATTAGGGAATTATACGACGAAGCGAATGACTTAGTTTACTTTAAAATAGATAGTTGGGTCTGCAGATTCTCTGGGTATTCCCTATTATTTAGCTCAATCAATAGAACGTCGTGTGCTGTACACTGGATTGAGTCAATTCCAAATTACTCTGTTTACTGTGACACTTCACGTAACTGTTTACTTTCCACCTTTCGGTGATGCAATCAACAATTTTCCTCCACAGAAGACACCTAGTGAACTGACTAAACGCATTACCAAATAATAGGGATGTAGACTTCATTAGTAATCAGTTAAACATGTTCAACGCTTAGATGTAAACATCTTAACAGTAGTAGTTGTTGTTGTTGATTGGAGGTAAACTCAGCTAAAGATAGCTGTGGTTGATCAGGTCAAGATACAACGGTGACTATTGCAATTACATTTAAGTCGATATTGGGAAGGTAGGATAGTGTCGGTTATACGCTTGAGATTTTCTAGACGTTAGCCGTCGATTTAGGATAAGTACAGGTGAAGTAGGGACATTTTATTCTCCTTTACATACATGTTTTCTCTCTTTTCTTACGTTCTTTTTGTTTTCATTTCAAAGCTAATGTTATTTGTCTGTTCTACTCTTTCTATGCTATTTATGAATAGTGACAGCTTGCTTGAACTATTGTATTATTGTGTGTGTGTATGTGTTGTTCCGTGTTTTAGTTTGCCTGCCAGTTTCTCCATCTTAGTGACCGATTATTATTTCATTATCTTATTATTTTGCCTTGATAAAGGTTACTTGATACGCCTGACATTTTACACCTCACCGGAAAATAAATAGAGAATCATTCATCGATTAACCTTCACATATATTTTATAGGTCACCTAATCAATATTGAAAAGGATTTTACTGGGGTTATTCAGAAGATACTCCGCAACAAACATTGTTTCTGTGATGTAGACAGTTACAGCTAAGTGAACATGATGATATGATCGACTTGGTTGTGGCAGTCACGTTTCGTCCTACCTAGGACTCGTTGGTTAGGGTTAGGGTGAATGACGTCGTTCCCACTGAAACTGGAAGCCCGTGTCCACCACTCCAAACGGCAAAGCGTTACCAGCTAGTTTCGATAGTTACCTGCTGTACAATGGATATTGGATATTATTATTTGTTGGTACTTGCAATTCGTGGATTGAATTGATCAACCTCTGTTAACATATTAGTGTGTTATGGAATAAAAGCTTGCAATATGGACATTTATTTCTCAACATCAGATTAACACTGACCCATTAAACTTTTTCTACCTTTTACTGCAATCGAAAAGTCTTGAACTGGATAGATTCGAGAGAAGTGATCTCATTAAGAAAAAGGACTTTTATCTGGAGAGAAAAAACAATGAACCTCTTGCTAAATGTCAGATATGCTTTTAATGATGCTTCGAAGGAGGCCAGCAATTTCGCTAACTCACGAAACACTGATATATGTGTGTCTGTGTGTTTGCATGCATGCGTGAATGTGTGGGTGTGTGAGCTGATGATTGTTAAATTCGAGTCTGAGTAGAAACTCCAACACAAGGGGGTACAATAACGTCTACATAGGACAAAGCATACTTCTTGAATGTCAATGGTAACAGTAATCAAGTATACAGGCCATTTTTACACAGTCCGTTTTATTTATTCACTGTATAAAGTTCAGTTAGACAAGAGAAAGTTTTCCAGAATTCATTGTACTCATTATTGTTCTTGTTTCACTCTCTGTTGTGTCTTCTTTAATTAGAGACAGAGTAGAGTAGTCAAGGGGATAATAAATGGGTAAAAAAATATAATTGACGTGCTTAGAAATAGCTAAACATAAGAGAGATAATAGTTCATCTGAAGATAAAAATACAAACGCTAAGCAGTGTAATATTTAGAAATGGATTGAGGCAACTAAGAGAATCACTGAACTTATTTTCGTGCAACAGAATGATTCCATTTCAATTCTGAAGGTTTGTCCGTGATGGGGATAAGAGTGAGCACTGCTGAAGTGTCCCATGCCAGGACGAAACAGCTGTCTAGTACTCCCAGGTTTTCAATAGTTTGTGATGAGTACATACTATCAAGCATTGGCAATTGGATTTAACTGAATGATACTGAACATTCTTAGGTTGAATCAAAGCGCTGTCTTCGATGCAGCTACCTACATTAAATAGGATGATAAGTTACCTAGGTTTTCCTTTCGATCCCCAAAGATTATTCGGAACAAGAATAACTTAATCGAACAATTGTTCTTAATAACTCCTT